GGCCAGCTGGAGCACCCGCACTACATCGCCGTGTCGTCCACCAACCGGGTCATCGTGTCCGACTCCAACAACCACCGCATCCAGATCTTCGACGTCAACGGCCGCGTAATTACGTCATTCGGCTCGGAAGGGTCTGACGAGGGGCAGTTTAAGTTCCCAAGGTGAGCTTGCAGCTTGCAGTGCAGAGAGACGGCGGGGCATGGTGGTAGTCTGTTGGGACAAAGCGCCTGCCATTGGCGGGATAGGCAACGTCTGCACCCGCTCGCACGGCTGCGCGCGCGCTGCCTACGCTCCAGGCGCTTGGTGACCTCCCGGCTCCGCGTCACGCTCGATTGACAACTCCCCACTTGCTTTTTGTTCCAGGGGCGTGGCCGTGGACGAGCAGGGTTACATCTTCGTGGGCGATTCTGGCAACAATCGCATCCAGATCTTCCACCCGGACGGCGCGTTCCTGCGCGCGTTCGGCTGCTGGGGCGCGGGGCCTGCCGAGTTCAAGGGCCTGGAGGGCGTCGCCGTCATGAGCGACGGCAAGATCCTCGTCTGTGACCGCGAGAACCACCGCGTGCAGGTCTTCTAAGTGTGAGGGGCGGGCATGGTCTCCTTAAGAGGGGGAAGGGCATCATCGGCTGTCGAGAAGTAGTGTCAACGCGGAAAAGACTGTAGAGATTTGTCATGGGATACAAGTTGTCATCTGTTGCGAATGAAATGCCACTTCTATGATAAGTAACAACGTTTCTTTTGCGTTGTTTTGTTGTTATTGTTGTTTTTTGTCACAGACCAGCTAGACGCAAGTGTCTCAGCCGGTATGTGAAAATAAATATGGAAATGTTCTCACAATCACAGATCCCACAGATCACGCAGTTTATGATACAAGAGCATATGACAGTACATAGCACTTACCAACTGCCTGGTCGTTTACCCCTTAAGGGCCGTGTGAGCTGAATCACTCCACTGTTCAAATATGAAAATGCTCTGACTCAAATGTGCTTTCAAATTAAAATCTGTGTGTATTTTTGTTTTCCCTCAAACAGCATGTTTGACTTTACTAAAGTGTTGCTGAGTGTGCCTTATCAGAAAAAAATAAATGTATGCAAAACCCAATGCTGCCTCCCTTTTTCTTTGTAATCAACCTGGAAAAACATTTTAAAACGAAAAGCTCCATTGAGGATACGTAGTAAACACATCAGTACAGTAGAAAAAAATATATTTAATATAAAGCATTGCATTTTATAAAACCTTAATGTGTAAATTCATTTTTAGATGATAAAATATTAAAATATAAAGGAGCAAATTATAATAATAATGTATACAAATTTTATAACATCCGAATCGTTTCTAACAATGGCACA